CCCGGAGAAGGCGATGATGCTTGCGAAATGCGGGTGGTGCAGCTCAAAGAAGGAGCCCCCCTGCTCTGCTTGCTGCAAACAGACGCAAGGGCCGGGACAAGGAGGAAGGGCTCCTGGCTCCATGCTGGGAGTGCCTGGGATTTTGGGGGCAGAGCATGTGAGAGGTAGTGAAGCTGTCTGCTTCTGAGGCCCAGATCTCAGGGCACCTTGCAGAAACCACCGGTGCCCCCGAGCCCGCCTGGGTTCTGCACACTGTGATTGCTTTTCGTCAGGGAGCCCCGTGGGGATGCTGGAGCCGGGGCCTGGCAATGTCGCGCTCCCTCCCTGCCCGTGCTCCCATGTGCTGGGCAGAGCAATGCTGGGCTCGTTTGCTGTCTCAGTAAAATATTGGGCTGAGGGGGTCGGTTATTCTCACCGGACAGTCAGATTTTTGGATCTGGGGCAGGTCAATTCTCATAGCAACAGTTCTGGCCATTGCCTTTGCCATGGGGAACGGGGAGAGTAGCTGCCTGTACTGGCTCCGCACGGCTGTGACTTGCTCTAAGCACAAAGAGGCTGAGGAGTGAAGTGATTTTTTTTCCTTTCTTCTTTCTCATCCATCCGTCTTGCTCTTTAGCGAGTCTTTTAGGAAAGTCGTGAAGGAGGGCTGAACGGGTTAGCGGGGAAGCCTCAGCGAGCGGGACGGTGACAGTCACCAGGGAGCTGTTAGGGACATGAAACGGATGCTGGTGACCGAAGGTGACTGGGGAGCGCGGGAGACAGCCGGCTGCCGCCGCTGCAAACCTGTCATGTGCCAACCCCCTCGGGGTGAGGGCTAGGCTCGTCGGGCACAACACGAGCCCAGCTCCCAAAGGCGCTGAGTGCCTTCGCTCCGTGCCCCCGCTGACCGTAGAGATGCTCGGCCAGAGAGAGGAGACGGTGGCAGGTCTTGTCCTGTGCTAGGGAGCCACATAAAACTGCAGCATCCCTTCACCTCACCTCCAAGGGGCTTAATCCCTTTGGTGAGGAGTTTGCAGGAAGGGCCTGATCCAGGGGGGGTGCTCAGAGCCGCAGGGTGCTGCTTGCTCAAGGGGACATGAGGGCTCAGGCTCCCGTCCTGGCTCCTACGACACGGTGGTCCTCTCTATCACCGCTGCAGGCTGTGTAGTGATCCCAAAACCTTGTCCAGGGTGCTTCTGCCCCTCAAAGCTCTGCTCCTTGCCCTTGTGCCAGGCCAGGGCTCTGGTTGCTTTGACCTGAACTGCCGCGTTCAAACCCTGGTTTCTCTGCCTGCCTGGTGCTGCCTGAGCTGGGCTCTCTGCAGGCTGAAGATGTGGGGCATGGACTCTGCTCTTTGTGGTCTCCTGCTAAAATGAGAGTCCTTCAGAAGGCAAAGAGCCACGTGCTGTGCTTGCACCCAGCTCTCGGAGACCACAGCTGTCCTCAGTTGGGACCACAGCGTTTAACCCTGCTGCTGCTGCCCAGCAAGGCAAAAGCGAGGGGGCCCCCGCTGCAGGGGCTGAGCCAGGATGGGCGAAGGGGTTTAGGTACTTGAACTCACCTACCTAACCCATGTTGCTGCGGAAGTTGCAGCAACTTTAATTCGACGTTCTCACCTGCCCTGTTTGCTCAGTTGACTTTTACTTGCTGCAGCGTGATGGGAGCACGTTGGAGGTGTTAGTTTGCTCTTGACGGATCTTTTCAGTCCGTTCTCCTGGCAAAACAGATCAAGGGCACACACCGGCTTGTCCGAAGCTCTCCCCAATGCAGGGGGGTGGAGGCCGGCATGCCGTGGCGGGGGCCATGCCATTCCTGGAATGAGCTCTCACTATTTTACTTCCCCGTCCAAGCACAAGCAGCCAGGGAGACGGCAGCTGGAGCTGCCTTGTCTGCTTTCAATTTAAAGCAGAAATGAGCTCGATGGAGCTGGGCCATGTGGCTCCCATTACGGCACGTCTTTGCAGGTCAATCCGGCAGAATTTGACCTTTGGGGAGCTTGCTCGGGTTAGCTGGCAGGGCTGAGGGGTGGTGCTCTCTGCTGCAGAGCACCCGTGCTAGGGCTTCGTTGTTTATTTGTGAGCCTTAAAAATTTTGAGATATATATATATATGAAAAAAAAAAACCCCACTGCTGAAGGCCTGGGACTAAGTGAAAGCCTTAGCTTTCATTTATTAAAAGAAAACCTCAGACAAGAAGAAAGGAGCAAGTTTCTGGGCATCTGTGCTTTCTTTGGAAAGCTTTGAAATCTGACCATGCTATACCCCAAAAATCAAAAGGCAAATAAAAGCAATTCCAAATGTTCCTTTTTCCCGCTGCCCAAACCTTGTAATTTCTCTTCCCTTCTCGTCATTTCTGGTGGCCTGGCTCATAAATTACAGATGCTCGATACCCTATTGCACCCCCAAGGCCCTGCTGCCCTATGTCTGCAGCAGACCAGCATTCAAAATGCGTTGAACGAGCCCCTGCACATCCGTCGTGCTCTCCCTGGCTCTCTGGCTTCCCTGCTGCAGTGGCAGGGACAGAGATGTCCGGCATGGGCCATCTCATAGTGGTTGAGCTCTATAGCCTGGGTTCAACATCCTCAATCCGATCTTCACCTGAGAGCTCAGCTTGCGGGAAGGGCTGGTTTGTCCTTCTTGCAGGGTCATAAGCTGGTCTATAGATGAGCCATGACTTAGTTAACAAAATCATTTACATTGGCTCTTTGATGTATTGCTTTTTCCCCCTCTTTTTATCATCTCTTCTCCAGGACTTGGAGCTCACTCCTTCATAGATCTGAGCAAAAGATTATTCAAAATCATTTGGCAACACTGAGCTCATCTCTCTTGTAACCCCTTGATGAGACTTTTGATTTCCAACTGCTCCAGTTCCCCGTGCACAAAACCACAACAGCCACTGCACCAGTTGTGAAGAGCCTGCGTGTGAAGCTGGCATTGCCTGTGCCGCTTTGGCAACACGTACTCAGCAGTGGTCAGATTTGGGTGTGCTACCGCACAAAACTGTCTCCTAACCCCTTCCTTCAGCTGCACTTTTCCATGCTTGGTGAAGGTCAGGGCTTAGGGGGCTGGTATTGCGCTTTGTGTTTTAACTAGTTCATCTGTGCTTGTGCTTGTTGGCAGAGATCAGAGCAGCAGAGATACTAGAGACGGGAATGACCGAGGAGGTCATTTTGCCCGTCACATCAGAGCCATCAAAGCGATGACTGGCCAGGCTGGGAAGCTGTGCTCGCTTTGCACGAGGTGGGTGGAGAGGCCCTGAGCTCTCCTGGCACTGACTTTGCTGCCCTTGAGATTGATGTCGGAAAAGGCAGACCTTTAATATACACCATGGAGTCTAAGACTCGATATTGTGTGCTGCCCCTTGCCCGCGTGTGCTAACGTGACAGCCATTAGCTGGCACCAGAGAGATTCTTGGGCAGCGAGGGGACAATGTTCCTGTCCTTGCCAAGCAAGCTCTTGTCTTGCAGGACACATCCCCCTTGCCCCAGCTTCTCCTCTGCTGCCTGCAGCCTTTCTCCTATCATTTTTGGCTTCCTCATCCCTCCCGGCTGGTGTTTCCCAGCCCCATCACCATGGCCCTGCAGTGAGACACTTGCTGTGTTTTCCCAGTGCTGGGATCTCACAGCTGCCTCAGCTGCATTAACCAGTGCTGTCTCTCGAATTCAGAGCACATCCCCTCTTCCCCCTTATCCTCAGCCTCACCCGGAGCAGAGTTTGGCGCTACGAGAGGCTGCAGTGATTTCCGATTCCCTGCGGATTAATTTCAGTGGATAACAACCTTCCTCTATGAAGCTGCTGGCGACTGTATATTTGAAACTCCAGGATCATGCATTATCTTTGGGGCAAAGGCTGAATTTTCCTATAGGTTCGGAAAGTGCACAGCACATCAAAAACTGGTAGGATATAAATAGTAGCTGATGGTGATAAGGGAGAGGGGTGCTATCACTTGAGATAAAGGAATAGATCTAGCCAGAAAAGCTTAGCAACATTTTCAGAAGAGACAGACACTTAAAAGCCCAGCTCCCCTTGACTCTCCCAAGAGATTTTTGTCCCCAGGATAGTTTTCAAGCTGCCACCGTAAGCATATGACACAGGTGGCACATCTACAGCTTCCCAGTGACTGTATAGGGAGGTAGGGTTTGGCTAGCAAACATCTCCTTGACCATCTCAGCCTTCAGTCCCTCTAGGAAATGTCCTCCCATCTCATGGGCCAAGGGGGACTTCTCTGTCCGGCTTCTCGGAGCAGTGCATGGGGCACTGTGCCTGGCTAACAGGCCCCAAAGGGGGCAAAGGGAAGGGACGTGGGGGCAAAACTCAGGTCAAGTCCCAAGTTTCAGTGTCACAGGACCTTCTGACATTTCAAAGCTCATTTTGTTCCAATCTGGGATAAGAAACCAAGAAACTCGAAGCACTTGTCAAGACGTAAGGCAGCCTAATAGGTGAAGGAGACCATTCTGCCCCATTATTTTATTTTTAAGCATTAACCTGGCTTGTTACATCTTGAAACATCTGATACTATCTTCTAGATCAAAGCCTTCTTGTTTGGGTTGTAATGAAGTGTCAAGCTCTCTCATTGCAGCACAAACAGGAGATGCTTTGATCTGCAAAGCAAGATGTTTGGGAGTCCTCCTAGCAAGGGCTCTGCAAGTTTTAAAAACAGTATAGAGCAGTGGAATATTTCAAGTCTAAAATTATTTCATATTATGCTTTCCGAGTTACGACAGCTGATACTATACGCTACTATCACACGTATGCCAAGAATAACGTGAAAATCGTCTAAAATAAAATGAGTTGGAGAGAAATGCTTTTAACAACATTTTCCAAAACTGCTCAGGAGCACTGGCTGCATTTCCAGCTCCCTGGGCTTTGTTTTCCCCCATTTAACCCTGTTGATCGTCCCACAAGGACTGTCCTTGGGGGTGTCAGAGGCAGAGCGAGACCTGCCCTCCCTTTGGGCTCCCCGGTGGCCATGTCATGGTCGATACACAGCTCCTTATGCGACTCTCCTCTGCTTGATTGCAGGCCCAGCGCTGGCGCAATGAGAACTATGAGAGGCCTGTGGACCTGGAAGGCTCTGGAGATGACGATCCCTTTGGGGATGATGAAATGGATGATGTCTACTCAGGCTCTGGCTCAGGGTGTAAGTAGCTGTAAGGCTCCCAGGGAAGGGGTGCAGGGTGCTGGGTCCAGGGAGTGTGGCCGTGAGTTTTGCGGAGGTGGAGAAGGGTTTTCCAGGGGAGCAGGAGAGGGGGTGAACTGCACCTTACCCGCCTTCAGAGGAGCAGCCTTCCTACCCTCTGCTAGCTAAAAGCAAAAACTGTCCCAAAGGGTTGGGCTCCCTGAGTGACTGCATTGCCCGTGTTAATCGCTAGAGTGGATCTCAGCCCTGGAAAATCCCTGGACGGCAGCAATTTCACCTTTTGCCCTTCTGCCTCCCTTACAGATTTTGAGCAGGAGTCGGGACTTGAAACAGCAGTGAGCCTCACCACGGACACGTCCATCACGCTCCCCACCACCACAGCCCTTCTGCCAATCACCCTGGTGCAGCCTGTGGCGACTCCCTTTGAAATGCTCCCTGCGGAAGATACCACCCCCGAGCAGACCACCAGCATCTTGTATGTCCCCAGGATGACAGAGTCACCGGTGATCCCCAGTTGGAAAGCAACCACGACCAGTACCACTGCCAGAGACTCCCCTAGTACCATGACTACCACCACCACCACAACCCCTGCCAGCACCACCACCATGCCCACTGTCAAGCCCACTACCGTCCGGAGGTTTCTGCCCCCCTTTGTCACCAAGGCAGCCACCACTCGGCCCACCACCCTAGAGACGCCTACCACCTCTGTCCTCGAGACCAGCACAGCAACAGAGGTGCCCACATCACGGCTTACCCCCTCCAGCACAGCCAAGCCCAGGTCCCTGCCAAAACCAAGCACCTCCAGGACTGTAGACCTCACGGAAAAAAGCACTGTGTTGCCATCCAGTCCTGCCACGCTGCCACCCACAGAAGCCCCCCAGGTAGGAAGCAGGAGCCTTGCCAGCCTGCTAAAGACCTTGTGAGCCTCATTTGAAGCCAAGTGATGGTGATGGGAAGGCTCTGAGGTAAATCAGAGTAAGATGAAGCCAGGCTGGGCTCCTCCCAGCTCTGTGAAGAGTCGAACGCTTGGGGAGCTGGAAAAAGGAGATTAAATGGTGGGAGAATCTGGCAAGCAGCTTGAGATGGGGCAGAGCATGCTGCGGAGCAGCCCCTGCCCCTCTCATTGCCTGGAGAGCTGCTTTATCCCTGCAGACCTGCTCAGATACCTGGGCAGTTCGGTGTGGGAGGGAGATGGGGCTGGCGCGACAGCTGGGGGCTGTCATATGTCCTCGGTGTCCTCAGCTCTGCCTTGCCTTGTGCCGCTCCTGAGTGGCTTCCCCAGGCCAGGGGTGGAAGAGCAGAGCTGGGAGTACCTAACTGGCACCGTGGCCACCCTATTTTGCAGAAGGAAGGGGGGTTTACCTCTGTGGGTTTTTTCTGAGCTCATTGCACTGTTTGCCAACTCTCAGCCAAGCAATGAGGGGCCCACATGCTCCACAATTATGTATTGATGGTGCATTTCCTGCCCGTTGGGCATCCTAAGCAGGGGCATTTAATCTGCTGATACATCTCTCATTCAGAGCCCTTAAGGGGCCCTTTGAAAACCACTTTGACTGAAAGATGGAGTGATTTGTCTAAACTAGTCCCTCTTTTTTGTGTACATACATATATGTATATAGCTCTGGGCTCTCGCTGACCTTCAATTAATCTCTGTCACAAAAGGATGGGAAAAGCCAGCTTGTGGTGAACCAGTGAGCCATGCACTTGTGCCAGGAGCAGCTTGACATGGAGAGGGCTCAGGCATAGCAGGGGAAGTCAGCTGAGCTGGTTGCCCGCCCCAGGGGTCAGTGCAATGAGCTTTTTGCTCGTCCTGATTTGTAATACGAGGATCAGGGCAGTTGCAGAGGAAGATGTTTGCCCCATGAAGGAGGGATCCCAAGGAAACCTTTGCTCGAGGATGCTCGGTCTGGATAGCTCAGCACACAGGCTTGTAGCAGATCAGACTGCTGGCAGAGGGTGACACGTCAGGTGGGATTTGTGCCCCAGCGAATCCACAAGTGTGAGGATGTGCAGGAGGCAATAAATAGGTCAGAGTTGGGCCGGAGATGGACAGAGCACCTCATCTGCAGGGCCCACGTTTGCTCTGCAGTCTGAGCTGTCCACCTTGCCAAGAGCAGCTCAGCTGGAGACCCCAGCATGGAGCTGGGCAGGCTCCATAGCCTGGGGGAGAAGGACAATATTCCAGCTCCTGCCCTGTGTTATGGGGCAGCAGCCATAAGAGCAGGCTGACGAAAGAAAGAGTGAAGGAAGGAGACTTCTTGGGTCAGGGTTTGAGGAGCTCATCTGATGGCATCCGACCCTTAAATTTGTTATGTTCCTGTAGCACAGATCATTGTACCCCTTCAGGCCTAGCAAGAAGGCATGTGTGAAATGTTTCAGTGGGCTCCTGGTCTACGCTGGGGGACAGAAAGCCCAAAAGGAGTTCTGTGACATGGCAACCTCTTTAGGTCATGATACAGAAAACTACAGGGAGCTGGCAAGAATTGGTACATCCTGAGGGCACGTGGGATGGGGGCAGACAAGAATTGTCCAGCTCAGCCAAGGTGGCCTAGGCTTGGCATCCATGAAGATGTGGGGTTGTGTTGCTCTTCTTAATACAGGTGGACGTTTCAGTGACATAGGGAACAGATACCCTGATGTTATCTCCCACGTTCCTTGCCAATAGCGTCGCCCCATCAGTAGTTTAGTAATGTCCTTCCTCCTTGTCCTGTTTCCCAGATGGAGCCGGGAGAAGTGTCGACGGTGCTTGACAACGACCTGGAAGTGCCAGTCAGCAGCGGTCCCAGCGGGGACTTTGAGATCCGGGAGGAGGAAGACACGACTCGGCCCGAGCTCATGCCGCCTCCATCGGGGCCCGGGCTGGGCAGGAAGGCCGAGCCCGGGCTCATAGACAATACAATAGACTCTGGCAACTCTGCTGCTCAGCTCCCACAGAAGAACATCCTGGAGAGAAAAGAAGTGTTGATAGGTGAGACTGGAGACCATTGGCTCGTGGGGGAGGATTTGAGCTGTTTGTAGGGGAGACAGGAACCCGGGCTGCCTGTAACCTGGGAGAGGGGCTAGCCTTCGTCAGGGCCCCGGCGTAGTTTTGTGCCTGGTGCCATTTCGTGCTTGCCTGCCAAAATTACCTGCACACTGAGGCCATATCTCAGGAGTTTCCCGGGGATCTTCAGGTTTTTGCAGGGCTCAGAGAAGGGAGAGTGCAGAGCTGTGCACAATTTCCTTTTGCTGAGATGAGTTTTCTCATAAAAATAGGATTTTTTAATGGAAATGGTGTGGCCAGGGCTCTTCAGTCCCAGGGCTCTTCTGGCCCCATGGAGGAGCTACTCCCATTTGCCCTCCTGCCTGCCAGATGCCGGAGACAGGGCAGAGGTGTCCTACCACCAGCTGAAGGGAGCTGGAGGCGATGGCACAGCTTGGCTGCCCTTGTTCTCGCGGGCTTCAGCTGAGTGTGGCAGATCCTGGCACTCACCCTCTTTCTCCTTGCATGAGTTAACTGCCTGAGCAAGGATCAGCACAGGGCACAGACCTCTGTCTCTGAGGCTGGGCTACCTGGGGCCAGTTTTTAGCACCCACAATGTATGTAAAGTAGGTGCTTTTGGATCCAACCCGTCCTTCTGCCATGAGACAGTAGTTCCTTTGCTGCCAGCTCTCTTTCAGCATCAACATATTTAGGAGGGTTTTCAAAACTCGATTCATACGATTGCATTAGGCCCTCACCTTCAGATTTGAGTTTCTTGAGCATAGATTTCGAGAGAAAAGTTGCTCAGAAACTTGTGAAGCTCAGAAATGAGCTGAAATCCAAGGAGATCCCCCAGACCGTTATTTGAGATGAAACTTGGTGGTCTGAGGACAGTCTGCAGGGGGGCAGGGGTCTGGGGCAGCCACTCCACGCGGTGTGCGCTCGGTCCTCTTTGCCCCCGCCCCCCCCCCCGATGACTCTGCCTTGTGCTTTGTTACAGCGGTGATTGTGGGTGGCGTGGTGGGAGCCCTCTTTGCTGCCTTCCTGGTCATGCTGCTCATCTACCGGATGAAGAAGAAGGACGAGGGGAGCTACACGCTGGAGGAGCCGAAGCAGGCGAATGTGACATACCAGAAGCCCGACAAGCAGGAGGAGTTCTACGCGTAGAGACGAGAGCCCGGCGTGCCTCGCGCTCCCTCCCTTCCTGCCTCAAACTCTCTCTCCTTCTCTACTTCATCCAATCTCTCTCTCTTTTTCCTGGATCAGACTGTGAATTTAAAAAGAAAAAAAAAAAAGAAAAAAAACCCCACAAATAAACAAAACCACAACAGCTAAAAGAGGAAACAGATCAGACGTGAGAAAATCAATCGTCTAGAGCACCATTGAGTTTAGACCAAGTACCGCTAACCTTTCTCCAGTGGAAGGGACGGGGCGAGGAGCAAATGGCCAACACAACTGTGCCTCTGGGACTGCTCTGACAAGGACATACATGGGTGGTCACATGGCTGACGGCGGCTGGAGTTCACTGGGCTTTACCGGCTGACACAACAGACACTGGGATCTGGATACCTGTTACCAGCCTTGGGGTGCCAGGGGAGTTGATTTGGATTTATCGTCCTTTTTTTTTTTTCCCCCCTTCGAAAAGGAGGGAGGTTTCTTTCTCTCTCTTTTTTTATTTTTATTTTTGAATGGGGTTGGTTGCTTTGCAGGAATTACCTTACTCCCTGCTTCTGTTTGGAAAAAAGGATGCAGCTGTCAAGTACATTTTGAACCATGAAAAAGCACAAGGGGCTGGAATACCTGATGCCCCCGGGTTTGCTCTCGGAGTAGGGAAAAATAAATAAGTACATACATGACCAGTATGTTGGAAATGATCTTTTTGATCACCTCTTCGGGGAGGTCATGGACCAGCAAGAAGGCCCATTTTGGTATCTCATGCTGCACCCTTCCTGCTACCACCTCACTTTGCTATATCGCTGTGCGCAGCCGGAGACCTGAAATCTATAGAAACTGCGTGTCGTCGGCTGGTGAGGGATTTGGTTGAAAAGGGACCTTGCTTTTGCTGGTTTTTCACTGTGACCAATAAAACTCAGCTTGCATAGTATGACCAGCATCACTGGTTTGCAAATGGAGCGGGACATTGCTTGGTGGGGAATTGGCAGGGGAGGGAAATGGAAACCGGAAGGCTAAATCCTCTCCTCGGTTCCTCTGAACGGGCTCATGGCTCACAAAGCTTGGCAAGCCATGATACGCAGCAGTAATAAAAGAATTGAAAAGCGTGGAGACAATACCTTCTCATCTCCCATGCCAGGGTTGGAGACTGGGTCGTGCCAGGAGACGGGCACCCCCAGACGTTGTGAAAGCCTAGGCAGAGAGGGGGCTTTGCAGAGGGCAGCCCGAGGTGGGTTTGACCACTGTGTATCTCTTTTGTGAAACTCATGATTGATGTATTTCTATGATAGTCTTTTGTTGTTCTTTAAATTCCGATATAAACCATCTGGCCGTGTGCTAACACCTCTCATTGACTTCCAAAGGGCTGTAGATCGGTTCCTGGGAGCCAGCGAGAAAAAGATCCCAGGAGCAGTCGCCAACCCAACTAAAGTGTTTTCCCTTCTGAGGCTACGTAACGTGCAAAGCAGCTGGGCCTGATCCGGAGCCCCACTGCAGCTTCTAGAAATACTACATTTTGGGGCAAGCCTTCTGCACAGAAAAGTCAATTAGATATTTTGATTAGTTGGCTTTTAATTAGCTAAAGCGCTGTTTGCGATGCGTTCGAGGATCTTTGTTTTAATGGTGGTTGCGATCTCGATGGTGTCCTGTGGAGACATTGACTTTGCTCTTACAGCAATTTAAATAAGGGGGAAAAAAGTAAAAAATCAGATGCTTTCACTCTGTTGCATCATGAATTAACCTGACACAGTTACACTTTGTCCCCCATGGGGCATTGGTGGATACAGAGATTTATGACCCTGAGGGAGGCTACAGAACAGCAGAGCTTCTTTTTATGTTAGGAACTGAGAAGCCAAACACAGATTTGGTGTGTGTGTGTGTGTGTGTGTGTGTGTACATATATATATATGAAATATATATATTTATACACACACACACACACACACACAAAATGAAACCCCTGTAAATTTTCATTGCACTGCATATGATGGCTGGACAGGACTTTGTGACTGTAAAGATCTGAGTTTTCGGAGGTTTAGACTCTAACCACTGCGCTTCGCCCCTTTTGAGGGCGAGCTGTTTTTATTTCGCGGCAGGGAACAGAGCCCCTATACATAAGCCAGCTCGTTAAACCACAATCCCACTTTTAGAGACGTGTGAGCGTCGAAATCGTTGTTGGCTTGGTTCTTTCAATGTGGAGTAGGCTGTCCTGTCGGGTTCCTTGGAGGGTGATGCTGAGGGGCGCATGGTGTATTGTGTGTGTGTGTGTATGTGTGTGCGCGCGTGTGTGTGTGTGTTTGTACCCCTTGTCGGGCCCATCCCAGCATCGCGTGTACCAGCGTGAGGATGCTGGGAAGGGGGAGCCGCACGTCTGTGGGAATCTGGTGGCACCATGACTCTGGAGAGAGGCCGAAAGGGCCAGTTTCTCTGAACTGCTTGAAGCAGGGGGAGAGTTTCCAAAGGAGCCTTGAAGTTTTCATGCCTTTTTTTTTTTTTTGGTGTCCCATTGAGGAAACACGAAGGGCATTAGCTGTTGGCGAGTTTAGCAGAAATCGAGCCTCTTTAAGATACTGTGAGTCATGGTATCTTACCATGAGAGCAAACATCAGAGCCACCCAAACTCACTATCTTTTTGTGAAACATGGACTTAATCTTTTGCGTGTATATTAAAAAAGACTCCCAGCTTAATCTTTTAAATGCTGCTTTTCTTAGCTGCTTCCATAATCTTCTTCATTCCCTTTTTTCTCCTAATAGTCTGAAGTTCTATAATACAATTTTTTATTCACTCAAGCTTAACCTTAGTTCGCTCAGCTGGTGTTAAGTTGTAATCCTGGCACTTGAATCCGTTACAGTTCCACAAGTGAGGACTGATTTGAAGTGGGAGGGTGAGGGCAGGCTGGGCAGTGCTTTCTCTTGCAACGGTTAAAGTATGAGATGACCACGTGCAAAAGAGGCAAAGTCGATTAAACGGGCAATCAGAACTGATCGATGTCTTAATTCATTGTACAGTCTGCTGCTTCCGTGCACATTCCTTATTGCTCTCGCCCTGGAGAGGGGCTGTGAGCTCAACGAGACTCTCTCTTGGGTTGGAGCATACTTTTTCCTGGTTTTAAATAAGGAGATAAATCATGCAGAAGCCTTTCTTGTCATCTCAGCTCCCCAAGAGTATCAGGCTAGTTGTCCAAGTCCATGCTTGGGAGAAAAAAAGCTTGTTCTTGATGTCCGATCTTGTGCCACCTGCCTTCCTTGCAGGGTGAAGGTGGTGGGACATGGCTAAGCCCAGGCTGTGACTTCTCTCTGCCTTTGGTGGCATCTTCTGGACCCAAAAGCAGAGCCTGCCCAGGAGTCCCTGCCCATGGGCTGCGGCTGCCGCGGTCGTTTGGCCCCAGAGCGTAGGGAGGCGATGGGGAGCGAGGAGAGACAACCAGCAGCTGGAGGATGTCGGCATCTTTTCTCAGCTGTTGGTTTAGCCGCAGAGTGTTTTTTTAGCAAAATCAGGTTGGATGGCAGGTTGAGGGCCTCCCCACTCCATCCCCTTGCAGAGGGCTGGCGGGTTTGGATGTGGAGAGCTGCGTTGCTCCCTTGCAGCTGGCGCAGTGGCCAGATGTGCTGCTCCTTCCAGCTGTGCTCTTCTTGAACGACCTCTTCAGAGACCAGCTCGGGCAGCCATGTGCGCAAGGGGGTCTTCTCTTGCCCAGTGTCCTTTCTGCATGCCTGTTTGTGTGAAATATGCTGGAGCTGAAGGGAGAGTCTTTGTAGTGCCAGTTTCCCAATTTTAGGACAGCTGCAAATGCAAGGCATAAAAGACAGCACCGTTTCCCTTCCCAGCTGAGTTATTTTTCAGCCAATCTCTCTCCTGCAGTGATTTGTAGCAAGCGTTGTCTCCGAGTAACCACTCTCTCCTGGGCCGCATAAAAAAGGAGAAGGCTCTAGAAGAGGGTTCAAAGGAAAATAAGGACCAGGAAATGCGTTGGGGAGCCCACGTTTGTCACCGTAGCGTAAGGGCAGGCATGGCCCAGTGAGAAAGGCTCTGGCAGGGGGGCTGAAATGAGCCAATTCTCAATTTTTCTTCTCGCGCGCCTTCGCTTGATGAGCTCGGTGGGTGCCCCCGGGGTGTACGATACCGCCGTCAGACCCGCGGGCGTTTTGCCCTTGCAGCGTACGGGTGTTGGCAAGCAAGTCCCCGTTTCGCAGCCAAACTCTTGAGGGCCAACAAACCAACAAAAAAAGCGTATAACCTCACCTGTGCCTCAGTTTCTCAGCGTGGCGAGCCGGCAATGGCACTGCGGTTTCGGGGTGCCGGCCGGCC